ATTATACAAAATACATGAATCTTTTTATCCTGTATTTACTTGTGTATATTCTGTATATGATATATACAATAATCAAATACTGAAATAAAAAAAGTAAGAAGTATAATACATGTAACTGCTTTGTTGGTTATTAAATGATCTATTTTCTGATACCGCTGGTAATTAGGGAATTTTTTTTGACAACTGCACTTCAATATTCTTGACAAATTCTTACGATCGCTGAGGTACTCTTCTTCAAGAATTCAAAGTTTCTGATGGATGGGCAGTGTTTTGGAAACTGCTGCCAGGACCTCCAGCAGTTTTGTCAGGAAAAAAAAGAAGAACAAGAGCCATGTCAACATGGCCATCCCCCGCCGAAAGTGTTTGCTCATTGAAAGAAATGTCTATGTAGTAGAGCAGAATAATTCAATTTTAAGAGGTCTTTTGGTAATGAAAACTGATGGCTGAAATGATTACAGATTTGAAACCTATGTGAATACTGATGGCTGAAAATAACAAAGGACAATAACTGAAAAAAAATGCAGGGTAGGTTATCATTCTTGTGTTGCTGCACCCCTCCTCAGTAAAAATCTATCCACTTATGAAGTTTCAAGTTGATACCTCAAATACTTTTTGAGATAAGCTCCAGACAAAATAGTATGAAAAATAAACAAAGGGCAATAACTCAAAAAATTATGAAAGGTAGAGTTATCATTCTTATGCACTGCACACCTCCTGAATGAGATCTAAGCACCTATGAAGTTTCATGTTGATATCTCCAAGGCTTTTTGAGTTTATGCTCTGGACAAAAATTAATTTTGAAAAATAACAATGGGCAATAAACTCAAAAGTTATGGAGGGTAGAGTTTACATTCTTGTGCACTGCACTCCTCCTCAATGAGATTCCATCCACCTATGAAGTTTCAAGTTGATACCTCATATACTTTTGAGATAAGCTAAGGGACAAAATAGTAATGAAAAATAACAAAGGGCAATAACTCAAAAATTATATAGCGAAGAGTTATCATTCTTGTGCACAGCATTCCTCCTGAATAAGATCTATCCACCTTATGACATTTCATGTTGACATCTTAAACACTTTTTGAGTTATGCTCCACTCAGGTGAAAAAATTTAAGCATGAAAAATAACAAAGGGCAATAACTCAAAAAATTATGCAGGGTAGAGTTATCATTCTTGTGCAAACTGCACATCCTCCTTAAACGAGGTCTATCCACCTATGAAGTTTCAAGTCGATACAAATAGGAATAAATTTTATGGTGTGCAGCTTCAAAATGCCGTTCAAAAAGTTTTAATGATATATGAGATAAGTATATGCGCTGGGGACTAACAAAACATACATTTTATTTGGATATTATTGGCGTTTGGAGCTCCACACTCCAAATGTCTGTGCAGTCCCAATTCTAGAGTTCCGTATTTGTGCATGGTAGATTTCTAATTTGATCAGGTCAAACAATAACATGTACAAAAATATACTTACACGAACATGTTAAGAATAGATTGCATTAGTTTTTTACCGAAATGCAACTCAAAAAGAAAGGGGGGGTTAACGATATACTGTCTTAGAAGTTTACGCCATTGCAACAGCAAAAGGGAAATAACTTTGTAAGAAAGCAAATAATCTACTGTACTGTTTACTGTACATACTGAAAATTTTGCAACATGCCACGGTTCATTCAGAATAACTATCTGCGAAAACTTCTCAGCGATGGACAGGAATCAAAATTATGTTCAATGTTAAAGAGAAAGGAGATATACCATGCGAAAAAGAAGTAAACCGCGGAAATCTAAGTCCTGGACTAATTAAACCGCAGGTGTTTCATACAATTGTTTCTTGCATACAATAAAGACATCCCACAGGCAGTCCAATCGAATGTACGTTTATTTGCCTGATGGTCCTAACGCCTAACATCAGGTAAGGTTAGGAAACCCTTTAAAAGATCTGAATACCTTAGAAAAGTAGGAGCTGGATTTGGGCATAAAGTTCAACCCATCCAAGTGTCAAGTAATCCACATCGCAAAAGGAAACATCCTATATCAATTAAATTTTTTTTTTCATTTTTATGGAACTTTTTTCTAGAGGCGATAATATCAGCCTGGGCGTGAATGTATCAAATGAATCTCTCCTGGACGTGCACATATAAAGGCCAACCAAAAAGACCAAACCAAACTCCAGTATAATGATAATATAAAGGTAAACCAGGATCTCTTTGAAAGACCCTGTGTAAACCCAGAAGCCCTTAAGACCTTGCATAAAAGACACTGGCTCGACCACACTTAGAATATACAAAATCACTAATGATTTAGTCGCTATATATCCCCATAGAATATAGGTTATTAGAAAGTTCCGCCCGATATGTTTATTTTCATTATTCGCAAAAACACTCTTCCACTGGAACGGCTTAGTCCCTATTTATTATTGTTTCGTTGCCAACACTTAACCAATACAATATAACTGACGGGTCATTCAAATAGAATTTGAAAGACCCCGATGACTGTTAGCCAAATCGAGCATAATTATCTCACCATTACAGATTGCCAGACTGCTTTTAATTTTAACAAAGCTTTTTCATTTCCCACTGTTTATTTTATATGTATATGATATTTTGTATACGTTTTCTTTTATTCCACATTTTTACTTTAAGTGTTTTTTTTTTAGCTTACCAGAAACCGAAGGCTCAGGGTGAGCTATTAGTATCAAAGGGGTATACACCGGCGTCCGTCTTCCTGTCGTCTGCGTCAACAATCATCTTCTTCTCTGAAACTGATTGGGCAGATTTACCTCAATTTGGTCTGTAACATCCTTAAATTTTTCTCATTGCCATTTCAATTGGACCCTTATAGGGTTAACAGACCCCTAAAAGTAGAAAAAAACCTATAAACATCTTCTACTACTAAATTTAATGATGGATGATCACACCAAAATTTGTCTGTAGCATTCTTAGGTAGTGTTTGGTATCAAAATTTTGATTATTTTAATTTGGTTGACTCCTTATAGGGGCCCACTAGAACTAAAAATAGAAACAAAAAAAAACTTTAGACATCTTCTTCTAACCACATAACTAATTGATGGATGATCACCAAAACTTGATCTGTAGCATTCTTAGGTAGTGTTTTATCAAGTTTACTCATATTAATTTGATTGCCCCCCTTTTAGGGGCCGCTAAAGCTAAAAATAGAAAAACATTTGAACATCGTCACTACTCAAATAATTGATAGATGATCACCAAACTTTGTCTCTGTAGCACTTTAAGGTAGTGTCTTATCAAGTTTGCTCATATTAATTTGATTGGCCCCATTATGGGACCGCTAAAGCTAAAAACAGAAATACATTTAAACGTCTGCTTCTACAGAACTATTTGATGGATGAATCACCAAATTTTGTCAGTAGCATTATTAGGTAGTGTTTTATCAAGTTTGCTCATATTAATTTCATTTGACTCCTTATTAGGGGCCACTAAAGCTAAAAAAAAAGAAATAACTTTAAAATAGGCTTCTTTCTTCAGAACTAATTGATGGATGAAAATCAAATTTTGTCTGTAGCATTCTTGGGTAATGTTTTATCAAGTTTGCCCATATTGATTTGATTGGCCCCTGTTTTGGGGCTACTAAAGCTAAAAATAGAAAGACATTTGAACATCGTCTCCTAATGAAATAATTGATGGATAGTCACCAAACTATGTCGATCACCAAACTTTGTAGCATTCTTAGGTAGTCTTTTATCAAGTTTGCTCATATTAACTTGATTGGGCCCCGTTTAAGCTAAAGCTTAAATTCCCCAGATCAAGGCATTTCTTCAAATTATAGTTTAAGATTTTCTGCTGATATTAATATGACTGGCCCCATTATTGGACCGCTAAATATAAAAATAGAAATACCGTTAAACATCTGCATCTACAGAACTATAGTTAATGGATAATCACAAAACTTTGTAGCATTCTTAGGTAGTGTTTTATCAAGTTTGCTCATATTAATGTGATTGAAGCTGGAATATAGAAATACCTTTAAACGTCTCCTTGTACAGAACTCATTGATGGATGATCACCAAATTTTGTCAGTAGCATTCTCATGTAGTCTTTTATCAAGTTTGGTCACATTATTTTGATTGGCCCCTTTTAGGGGCAGCTAAAGCTAAAAATAGAAAACCCTTTGAACATCATCTTTTACTAAAATAATTGATGGATAATCACCAACCTTTGTCCGTAGCATTCTTAGTGGCCTTATTGTTTATTATAAGGAAAAAAGAAAGAAAACAAATCAGTGTTCTGAAAGTATATTACTAGAGAGGAAAGTTAAATTGAGCTGAACTTGCCGAAAGAGCTTGACTTGCTTTGCAGCAAGTTCATTTGAAAAATAACTTCCAACACTGAAAAACAGTTGTTTCTGGTGAGCGACTCAGGGTCATCACGACCCCATTGCTTACTTTTTTTGACACGTCAACGCGATAGGTTTGACAGAATAAGAAAATACAAATGTAGATAGATAGTATGAACACATCTGTGGGTGCTTTTAATTCAAAATTAATTCATGCCTGAAATAATGCAAGGAGGGGCACCTGCATGAGGTCTTCCTCCACTATTAAAGCTGGAAAGACGCCATATGACGTCTGCTGTGTTGATGCGACGTTATATCCAACAAAAAGTGCACACCAGTCGCATAACATATATTTATAACATGTATTCATATATATATAATATCTTTTCAGTTTCAGACAAAAACAATAAATGGACATATATATTTGTTAAACTCTCAAAATCTCGGCTTCCCCTTCGACATAGGTTACGTTACCTCTTTGTATAACCTCTGTCTCAACTTCTTTTTCCTCTTTACATATGTCAAGATACTTTATGTAAGGTATACCTTCAAAACAACTTTGAAGTCATAAGGAAGTTAAAGGATTTCTATATCTCCATTGTTTTTTCTGACAATTTCGAAAATATCTTTCATAGACTTTCATAAACTTTATTCATTTTATTATTTTCCTGTTCGTAGTATAAAGAAAATGTCTTTTTTTCTTGTTTTAACATCGTAATATTTTAAAGCACACAATCCAAATACAGTGTTTAAGTTTCACTAAACGGACGATTGACATTGCATCTGCCTATGTTTTAAACCGTTTATACCAGTCTAGATAGTTACATTTTAGCAGGTATGTGTATTTTTATAAACGATTCATTCTACTACTACTACTACTACTATCAACATTTTTTTTCTCAAATTTCTAATATGTATCTTTGAGACTTAAATTTTCATTTTAAACAAAAGAGGTAATTTGACGTAAATATTGTTGAGGCATAATTCAGAACATTCCAAAAGACCACATCTTTAAAGAAGTTTATTGCTCAATTCAAACTATTTTTGCTTAGTTTTTTGTCATTTCATGGGAGTTTCAAACACTCTCTCATCCACATTGTACATTTATATTCTTTTCAGTTAACACCATAGAACCACCATATTCATCCATTGATATTACATGAAATCTACCATATCTTCCAGTATGATTTACGTTTCGAAAATGAAAGCGAGTATTATTTGGTTCATAATCATTGCAAACCATGCGCAAGGCATAAGCTGTAAAGGTATTATCGCTATTTCAGACATACCATGCTGAAAAATTCTAAATATAAGGCCTTGATTCAATAACACTTTTCCCATGTTTTTTCTGGTTTTTTTTTAACTTACGTCGTTTTTTACGCATTGACTTTTTACATTTTCTGCATAGTTTACTTGACTGTACATACATGTAGCTGCTTTGGGGGGGGGGGGGGATCACGTGACTTTTGTATAGTAATACCCACGAGAAAATGGCGACTGCTGAGCCCCGGTAAGTGGAGTTAAAAATATTTACATAAAACAATCTTAGTTGCTTGGGTTCAAATCACACCGTCAATGTCAGGACACCTGAGTTAAAGCACTGACGTTTTGTTAGCTAGTTTGATGAAAGAATTCAAGGACTCTGGTGGGAATAGAATCCATAGCAGTGAGAAGCATGTGTATAAAAATCAGGGACTTTAACCACTGGGCCATGGACGCCCTGGATATCTTATTTACTTACTCTATCACAAACAAAAAGTAAGAGTTTACGAGGCAACACATTTGCACATGGTAAGAAAATAGGCGAATAGTAATACATAACGTTTTAACAAAACTTCTTGGGTTTATTTATAAAATCTGCCAGTGTATAAAAGAATAAATTTAATAAAAACTTTGTATACCAGTTCTATGATGGCATTAAATATCAATGTGATATGTCGAATGTCTTCTCCTTTGCGTTTTTGGTCCAAATTGCAGATACTGAAAAGTAAATGATAGTGTTGTAATATTTCCTTCCACATAGTTACTTTTATATATATCTTGTTCTACAGATTACGGATGTGGGTCCAGTCTAACGTGAAAAAAGGGCCATGTGTAACGTACATTGTTGACTATCAATGTCAATGTATCATCTATTTATTTTTAATTAAGTAATCTTTTATGAAATTATATGAATATATGAAAACATGTATTATGAAATAATATGAATAATTATTAAAATACTTTCTCGATATTTGTTCTCTGTCACCGCAGACGGAACATACTTGCAAATTGGTAAACAAAAGAATTACAAGATAGTTTCGTCACATCTTAGTAAGCTGTTGGAAACTGTGCGTGAAACTTACTTTTTTGTTTTCGTGCCACTTACTATCCAAAAATTGTTCGTTTTACTTACTTAACACTTGCAAAGAACATTTGTAGGCTACATACCTTCGAACAAATTTTTATATGAAATTCTACAAGAACAGATGTCAATAAACTGATTGATTTGGTGTCTTAAGTGCTGAAAGTACGCTTATTTTCATTATTTTGGTACCAAATTATATCGCTTCGTGCGAATTACTATCGCTGAATGTGCAATTTTCACACAATTCAAACAATGTTCTCAAAAACCACAAAACGTAGGATAATGCATTTTATATTGTCATTTAAAGAAAATTACCGCGCATATGATGCGCTAGGTTTTGTTTTGATTTAAAAAACGTGTGTCACCTTACTTTAGCATAATAAGGTACTTACCGGGGCTCAGCAGTCGCCATTTTCTCGTGGGTATTACTATACAAAGTCACGTGATTCCATCCCCCCCCCCCCCCCGTGATGAATGATTATAAGAATCTTACACCGACTGCCGGTACAGACCGGAATATCTAGCTCGAGGCGGCTAAACAGTTACCCGAGAGCTAGATATTCCCGTCTGTACCGGCTGTCGGTGTTTGTTTGAGTAATGGAAAGAGCACCGAGACACGAGGCTGTCTGATTTGTACGAGGGGGCGTAGCCCCCGAGTATTAATCAGATTGCCGAGTGTTTTGATGCTCTTTCTCTTTTGTATCATAGTCAAACATAAAAAGACGTTCCCTGTTGTCACAGTATGAAACCCCAGGAAAAAGAAACCAATGAACGAGCATCTGAATATGAGTGCGGGTAACTGAAACCTGCACTTCGGTTACCGCACTATGCATGTATATGTATACGATTTAACTCCGACACATTTTCAACAGAAAGGTCCCCAAACTATGATACAATTCTTTTTCTTGCATATTACGGAACAGAAATTCTGAAAACTGATATAGTCATTACTCACTTTTTTCTCATAATAGCGTATGAACTTACAACTTCATTCATAATGGTACAATGACGTCATCTTAAAAACGCAATTAATTCATAAAAGGCGCAATGTCATTAATCTTAAAGCACGCGACTTGTTTACATGTGTGGTGTAAGATATAGAGGATATTTGTTTGTTTGTGTGTAAGATGAAATTTTATTTCATCGAGTGGGCTTTAAAAACAGTATTCTCACGAGTGGCGTAGCCACGAGTGAGAATACTGTTTTTAAAGTTCACGAGATGAAATAAAATTACATCTTACACAACAAACAAACAAATTTTCTTTTTATTTTATGCTAAAAAACAAGTTTAAACGAAATTTCCATAATATTAACATAAATATTAAAATCTGTTTCCCCATTGAGAGCCCCATTTCGTGCGAATTTCTCATTAAAAACAAGAAGTCTTGAGCTGAAAAATAAGTCCGACAATCAACATTAAATGACAGTGATATTATTTATTTTGTTTAAAAAATATGAATGATCGCTTGTTTTCATAATAAAAACAAACAATTCGTGTAGGAGAAAATTCCAACCATCCATCCATATTTCTGTTACCTACTGCGAATTTATATTAGACCTGGCTTTGTAAAATGTAAGCGGCAGCCATTTTTTAAAGTTGTGTATTTCACGGGAGGAAAATAATTTGTGTTTGATTCAGAGGGATATCATTTGGAATTGTTAGTCATACACCTTTTTAAAAGAAAGAAAACATATTTGAGGATTGAAACAGACAAAAATTAAGTGTTGACAGATGTGAAAACATGAAAAAAGCAGCTATGAAAATGGAAGACTTGGAACTTGCTCGGAACGCTGGGTTGGTTTACTTGTTCTACGAGCTGTAGCTGTCATTGCTTTTCAATTTTTCATAAAGCATACGGCAGTTATTACTCGTAGGATACTTTAATATGCCCAACTGTCATCAAGAGCAGTTTGCATGTGGAAGGAATGTATTTTTCAGACTGTAAAAATGAAACAAAAAATTTAGAGACGAAATTTGGTGATTGGAATTTGAATGAATAGAAGTAAGTTTTCTTCTTTTTATTACTTTTGACGTTTAAGGTATTTATCAATTTCAGCTTTCCTTTTTCTTTAAACAGCCTGACATTGTCTGAATTGTCAGCAAAAATAAAATTGAGGTACCACATGGGGAAAATTTTAAAAAAGTAGTTTCGTCATTGAAAAAAGTGAAATTATATTTTGATAATTTTCACTGTGAAATTACCAAATATAATTTTCACGGATAAATCAGTAATCCACTGAAAAGCATAAAATAAAGATTTTTTAGCATCGGTGTAAAACGTAGATAATCCTGTCTGATATGCAAGAAAAATTTATATACTGCATCCATGTGCTCTCAATACATTCCATGGAAATGTACTTGCACGGCTTATAAATTCTTTTTTTTGCTTTTGTAAGTATCTAACAAGCTCTTTTATTAATTTATTATTAACAAAAAATATAACATCTTGCTTAAAAGTTTGCAAACTATATCTTTACACTTTACTTCAGCGTGTTGTGACGACGGATGGATATCGTACAAGTTCCATTGTTATTTGATAGGACATAAAGAACGAACGTTTATGGAAGCACATGTAAGAAATAAAAATATAAGACTATCACTTTTATATGGTGGCTGATTTGTGCCATTCGTGTTTTCGCCTCGCGACCCCGCCAAGCGAAAAGTCGAGAATTAACACGTTAAAAGGGCGGGGTCGCGGGACGAAAACACGCTTATTAGCGAGGGCACGGCGCGAAATTTAATAAATAAAACTTCGTTCTTAGGGGAGCGCAGGACGAGATTTAAGAAATAAACGGCGGGGGCGCGGAGCGAAAACACGCTTATTAGCGCCCTCTCTAATTATCGTGTTTTCGCATCGCGCCCCCGCCATTTTAACATGTTAATTATCGACTTTTTGATTGGCGGGATCGCGGGGCGAAAAAACGCTAATTCGCAGGGGGCACGCTGCGAAGTTTTATTTATTAAACTTCGTCCCGCAATCCCGCTAATCCCGCGGTTCGCGGTTCGTTCCGCGACCCCGCCGTTTTATTTCTTAAATCTCGCTCCGTGCCCCCGTGGGACGAAGTTTTATTTATTAAACTTCGCCCCGCGCCATCGCTAATAAGCGTGATTTCTCTTCACGCCACGCCATTTAAATTTAGTAATAATTGACTTTTCGCTTGGTTGGGTCGCGGGACGAAAACACGCTAATAAGAGGGGGCGCGCGGCGATGATTTATTTATTAAACTTCGCCCTACGCCCGCGCTAATTAGCGTGTTTTCGTCCCCGTTACCCGTCATTTTATTTCTAAATTGTCGCTCCGCACCCCGGCGGGACAAAGTTTTATTTATTAAACTTCGCCCCGCGCCCTCGCTAATATGGATGTTTTTGCTCCTCGCCCCCGCCATTTCAACTTGTTAATTTTCGACTTCTCGCTTGACGGGGTCACTGGGCCAAAACACTAATGGCACAAAACAGCTACCATACTTTTATGAACAAAATAATCACATCATGTACATGTATCTGAAAAATAAAAATAAAACTCCCGACAATTCAATTAGGATATGAAGTAAAGATTTACTATTAAATGAATCATTAACATAATAAAATGCTGCGACTGAACGATCATTTCATTTTCAAGATCTACCCCTCACTATTAATGTAACGTTATTTTCTCATATACCAATGGGGGCTATTGTCTTTGAAGTGTTCACAATATTATATTTCAGCACTTTTGTTATCAACAAGGCGCATATCTAGTCCGAATTGATAACTACTGGGAGAATAAGTTTCTTAAAGATCTTCTAAGAAATTTGAAAGGTAATATGACTTTATTTGTAACAAATCTAGGTAAAAATATTAGTAAAATGACGCTGAACCCGTGCGAGATACAAAAAATATTGGCTATTTTTAAGATGGGCTGGTGATTATGGCCACAGTTCTGTATCAATAATTTAACAATAATTGGTTATTGAAAAGTAAGAGTTGGCATTTGTAAACAGTATAATATTATAATGTTGTGTCAATCAATAAATAAATCATCAAACTGTAGTGTAAAACCCTGTTAAATGTATTATTTTGGCCATTGACATGTTTATATAATTATATAATTTAAATAAAAGAGATGGGCATATGGGCTTTTTTATTTTGATGAATAGTAGGACTTGTATATGTTGGCCTCCACAGCGAGAGTGCATTTAAAAAGAAAATGACCTCCATAGAATTATGATCCCCTTTATATTTTAAAGAGTATTGACTCTCTGGTCATAATATTATGACCCTCAGTCAAAGTATTAATGACGAATTTATAATACAGCAAATTCCTTTTTTTAGAGGAAAAACTATGTTTTTTTAATATACTAACAGCAGCCGTATATATAATAGATTTTATGCCCACATAAAATAATTTTATAGATATATGTTCTGTCCTATATCCATTACTGTACAGAATTTACGGGTCAGCCGCTCCTTTTAGCCGTTACGGGTCAGGTATAATCGATACTCAAACTTAAATCATGTCGATGTTAATAACCAATGATTACTATTAGATCTTATCACAAAAAGAATTATGTTGGCGCGGAATGATTCTCGCCGTTTCCTGCTTTACTAAATATCTTAATTTTCGAGGAAAAGGTTTTTTTTTTTTTCCATAAGCTTTATTTAAAGTGGACTCTCTTTACGTATTACTATGACAGTTTCTTATTAACTTGCTGGACCGAATTTAGGACAGTGTCCCGTTTCATTTCAATTTTCGTGACGAACATGGCAATTCTTCTCACGCAACACGCGGCATGACGGGCAGAATATCGTAACAGGATGTACATCTTATTATCAAAATGAACATTTCTGCATTCGTTATTAAATTTCACCTCATTTGAGACTCGGGAATTTAGACAGAACGATTGTAATCTACGATATGGATTTAATTTTCACAGACATATTTTTGTAGAAATGCAACTTTTTTGGGAGCTTTGAAAGTTTGAGACATCATCAGTCGGGAAACAGTTGTGCCGGCTTTGGACACTGTTGGAACTAATGACATTTACAAATCAGAATTTATCCACAAAACGTTGCTCGTCATATTACAGATTTTCGTAGATACCATACTATTTACGAGTCCTGAAAGTTACCATTGTTCAACAGTTCAAGTTTTGTACAGATGCCAAAACAAACATAAACGATCATACTTATGGCGAATAAATGGTTCATGGTTGACATGTCTAAACAACATTTACCTGTTTACACCAGATGGATGCCACCTGTTTACTCTGATCAGCTACGTCTCCTCAATGAGATAAGAACAGCAGCTTGGTCGCCGCCCCGAAGCATTTCTTTTGTCAGACAATTTCAAAAGATAAGTATTTTGTTTACTATGTCTTTAAGTTATATTGTACTAAAGTCAGTATTTTCTGCATTGTCTGCCTGCCCTGTTATACAAACTATGAACAGATGAAGTCTAGGTTTGTTGCTTTGTCTTAACAAATTAATATAATAAGCTTTGATTATGACTCAAAGTAGTTCTACTTAATGAATTTATCAGTGAGTAAATTTCTTAATATTTATAATATATAAGGTTATTCATTGCCGGGTTTGTTGTTGGTCATCAATTATTCTCCTAATGATAATGTACAAGAATGCAGTATTAATCAGACATAATTTTTCCTGGACACATAATTGAAATTCTATAGTCATGTTAGTTATCACTTATTTCCAATTCATTTACAGTTCACACAAACTTCTAATTAGAGTAGATAATAGTACATGTTGATTTTCTGCTAGTCTACTATACATTTGTACACACATCATCATAGCAGTATTATTTAGCAACATGTTAAGTAACAGTCCAGATTGGAGCGATTTAGCCTTATTTTTTTTAATTTTACATTTTTTTTTTTTTTTTTTTTTTTTTTTTTTTTTATTGACTCCAACTACATACAGTAAGTGTGATTTAGTTTATAATTTCCATACATTCATGTTTCACTGTTTTTTTTTTTTTTTTTTTCAGTCATTGAATTTAAGATTCAAAATTACTGTTCTGAATTCTAATTTTGAATTTATTCTACTATACACTTAATCAAATTTTCTTTAAATTTACACTGACCTGAACTAATTTTCACTGGCCTAGGACCAGTGTTAAATTCTATGACTGGTTTTACAACAGTTTAAACACGATTACAACACAAGGTTAGTTTACAGTCCGTGTTAGTTGCATTTATACATATTCTAGTATACATGGCTTAATATATAGTTTTATGTCTGCCGGACTTAGTTAACATTTAGTACACATTTTCAACACAATATAGTTGACGATCCATGTGAGTGTGATTTTGTTTATAATTATACGCATCGTATGATAAATGACTTGGTTTATAATCCATGTCTGCTTGATAAAGTTTACAGTTCACACATAGTTTTATAATACATGTACATGTAAGTGTGATTTTGTTTACAATTCGCACACATCCCATGATACATGGCTCCGGTTATAGACCATGTCTTAGTGATTTAGTTTACCGATGATACACATGGTTTAGTTTACACGCATATTTTCTACACATGGTTTAGTTTACACTCCTGGTGAGTGTGATTGAGTTTAGAGTTCTCGCATATCCAATTATACATTGCTTAAGTTTATAGACAATGTCTGCGTGATTTAGTTTACAGTTTCACGCCTAATTCTCTACACATGGTTAGTTTACAGTCCATGTGAGTGTGATTTAGTTTACAGTTCACACTTATCATACTTTATACATGGCTTAGTTTAAAGTCCATGTCTGCGTGATTTAGTTTACAGTTCACGCCTATTTACACATGGTTTTAGTTTACAGTCCATGTGAGTGTGCTTTAGTTTACAGTTCACACATATCTATTGTACATGGTTTAGTTTAAAGCCCATTCTGCGTGATTTAATTTACAGTTCAACACTCTATTTATTCACACATGGGTTTAGTTTACAGTCAGTGCGAGTGTGATTTCAGATTTATAGTTCACTTCATAATTATCCTATCAGAATTAATTTAATAATCAATTTACATTTTACATACTTTAGTCTACCTTAAATGACAAAATAATTCATATTGTTCAGATGAAACGGCCACAATTCTCCAGTACACCTGTTATTCAGGTCCACAACAAGGAAAAGCCAAATACAAGAAGTGTCCAGTAAATCCTGCAAAAACCAAGACTTAGTCGAGGGAGCAATATATTATCGTTGAATTAATAGTTGCAAGCGGACCTGGGACCTAAGACAATTGCTTTCATCAGTTTACATTAGCAGCCTTTCATTACTTGTTTCATGTTTTCAAGCGTTGAGTCAGATAATGAATAACTGATGTTGGCATACATGTTTTACACAGTTCAAGGAAATTCATATTGTATTTGCCCAAGACAGTTGAAAAACATAAGAGTAAGTGGTATTCAGATTGCGAGCGTAATAATTACACCTTTTATAAACGAAATATGCTTCTGTACTTGTGTTTGTCATCTTGTTTAGTTACACGCCCTTGCTATTCTCTTCAACATACCATTATGTGTACTATGCATTGCTTAGTTTACACGCTTTGCCCATTCGTTGTCTGTTTACTTTGTCAGCTTGGCTTTATGTTTACACGCCTTGCTATTGTATTCTCAGCATATCATTGCTTGTATTAGGCATTGCTTAGTTGACACGCTTTGCCATTTGTCTTTGTCTGTACTTGTCAGCTTGGCTTATTTACACGCCTTGCTATATTTCAGCATATCATTGCATGTATTAGGCATTGCTTAGTTGACACGCTTTGCCATTTGTTTGTCTGTACTGGTCAGCTTGGCTTAGTTTACACGCCCTTGCTATTATTTCAGCATACCATTGCTGTATTAGGCATTGCTTAGTTTACACGCTTTGCCATTTGTTTGTCTTACTTGTCAGCTTGGCTTAGTCTACAGCCTTGCTAATTATTTCAGCATATCATTGTGTGTATTAGGCATTGCTTAGTTGACACGCTTTGCCATTTGTTTGTCTGTACTGGTCAGCTTGGCTTAGTTTTACACGCCTTGCTATATTTTCAGCATACATTGCTGTATTTAGGCATTGTTAGTTTGACACGCTTTGCCATTTAGGTTTGTCTGTACTGGTCGGCTTGGCTTAGTTTACACGCCTTGCTATTATTTTCAGCATACCCTTGCGTATTAGGCATTGCTTAGTTGACGCTTTGCCATTTGTTTGTCTGTACTGGTCAGCTTGGCTGGTTTACACGCCTTGATATTATTTCGCATACCATTGCTGTATTAGGCATTGCCTTAGTTGACCGATTTTGCCTTCATTCGATAAATCTTTAATAGTGTGCATTGCTTAGTTTAAATGGCTTTGCAATTTGTTTTCAAGTCTCAAATTATGTACTGTCTTGTCAGCTTGGCTTTTAGTTTATTTATCCATTCTGCACGGCTGAATGCTTTATTTGATATGAAATTGGATTTTAATTGTCACTAGATACCATTGTTACTCATGCAGAAGTTCTTTTTTCAATTAATCATGTATGGGAACCCTACTAGCCCGCGCAAGAAAAATGTCCAATATCTAGTCAGGAACGACAGCCTTTATAAAAGGCCGCGGGAGATTTCGCACATCATGTCTTAAATACATAAGTTTTTAATTAATCTAGGTTACCAGTTTTACACTTTATTTTTCGAAATTTAAGAATCTGTCGGTATAAGGCAGCAGATCTTTTATATATAGAAAAAGCAGACAACTGAATTTCAGCAAACTGAGTGCCTTACAATCTTTTAAATTACTGACAGTTAAAGGCTGCAGTACGTTATACATACTGTTAGGTTACAGTTTTTCCACTTTTATTTTTGGTAATTTATGATCTTGTCGGTATAAGGCAGCAGTTCTTCTTAGATATTAAAAAAAAGACAGTGATTACTGCAAACTGAGTGTCATTACAATCTTTCAAAAACTGACAGTTCAAGGCTGCAGTTTTCTCCTTGCTGACGGTGCAAGGCTGAAGTTTATTTCTTTCGTGCCATTATAATGTGTATGACGGTATTCCTATTCATGTATATATCTTGTGGCAGATATGCACAATTTGGCTTCATAAAGGTTTTATAAATCTGACAGTAGCAAGGCTGCAGGTTCTCTTAATTAATCATACATATAATTTCAGATTGTGTTCATGCTTACTGCATGATATTTAATATCACTTAGTCCCTTGAATGGATTTATGTAAATGTTATAAAGATACATTTGTACTTGAAGTTTTTTTTATGTATTATTGTAGAAATGTTTACATTCACATCTTGTTCAAAGGTCTGTTGTACTTTATAATTTTTTGGAAGAGTCTAGTCTTGTATAGAAACTTTTTCTATTTATCCTTACTTACAATACATTAATTTATATTTTTCATGCAACAATCATATAATGAACAAATTAACATTAGACACGTCAGACTCACATGTATTTAGGTCAAATGCATAAATTAGGTTTAATTAGATATTTTTACAATTTTGATTTTCAATTCTACATTAGGTCTTAAACTGATAATTGGAAAATGTATAGCGAACAAATTTTGACATTTACATCTATTTTTGGTTTAATGCATTTTAATGCGTTTAACGAATAAATGATTCGAAAAGAATTGGATATCCGCTAGGACTTACGCAAATTGAAGATACTAACTGAAATTCAATGTCACATACCTTACATAGGAGATGTGTATGTTTTAAATGTCTAAAGGTGCCACGCACTGTTGACATACTCCAGTCTATGGTCATTTAAAAATTTTAATTTACAATTACTAGCCCAATTCAGTTTTGAATTCATACTACTATATATTTAACTAAATTTTTTATTTTTTCACTTCATGAACTAGTTTCACAGGCTAGGGGCCTGTGCTAAGTTTGATGACTTGCAACTTGGAAGCCATGGCCATGCAATTTTTTGGCTGTTCACCATTGAAGGATATCTGGTTGCTGATACAATAATAAATCCATTCTAATTTTAATTTAAAAAAGAATTTTTCTAGTTTTCATTGTCATTGATGACTAGTATGATCTTGTAAACAATTTTCCATTACACATAGTTTGAAAACTATAAAACTTTGATTCATACCTCTAGTTTGTACAATCAGTTTAGACGTTGAAAACAGTCCGGATAATGCATACTGTCAGATGGTTCTCAATAATACATATATAATGTAATTGTTATAAGTATTTTCACAGCTAATTATTTTGGTCTATTAACTCAGTTGCTGGTTTACAATAGCATATCCTGTAATGTGCCTGACAGTTTAAGGCTGCAGTCCACATATATTTATTTAAAGAACAAGTCAGGATCCATTTAAATGTTAGACATTATTTCTACACCTATTATAATATTGGTCATTAGATATATGATTTTTGTCGTTTAAACATTTTTTTTTTTGTCCTAACATGACTTGATTAAATTAATGGTAACTTCGGCAAATTTAGCCCCTCTGTTTCAATCCTTAGTTTACAGAGGGTCAAGCTCATCCCTAGTCAAGTCTCCCTGGGTGGCGGAAGGTTCCCTTTGTGGCGGTTTTTACCTCCCAGTTTGGTTATTTCGATACAAATATGTACATGCCATGTTTGTTATTATGTAACATTTGTCATGTTTGTTTATTATGTAACATTTGTCATTTATGGCATTTAATAAATGCCCTATTTCATTCAACCTAAGTGTTGTGTTTTATCTCATACCAAAACAAGTTCGTCTTGCCAGTTATATTTGCTTGACCTGGACAATACATAAAATAGATTTTATGCCCACATAAAATAATTTATGTCATTGTTCTGTCCCTATCACTCATTACTGTACAGAATATTACGGGTCAGGTATTTTAGCCGTTACGGGTCAGGCTTTTAGCCAAGTACGTCTTAGACCATCAGATATCAGACTGAAATCATTGATGTTAATTAAAACCAATGATTATACATTAGATCTATCACAAGAAATTAATTTTGGCGAGGATAGAATCTCTCGCCCTTTCTGTTTACTAAAATCCACCTCCTCCAACTCCATCTCCTTTTTCAATTTTTTATGTTGTATAAATACCATTTTCATTTTTTCTTAATTGAAGCAGTTGTTTCACTTATTGTTTATCTCAGTTATTTGTGCAACTATTCATGAGATACCTATATATATATATATATATATTAATGTATATTGCTTACATGGCAAAGATTTATAAAAAACTAGTCGATGTTATATTATCTCTTTCAAATATTTTCTATCTTGTTGTCTCATAAATACTTATGATCTAGTCATATGTTATACACTTTTTAAGTGGTATAGAATGTTTAAACTATTTTCCAAGGATGGAGCCCTACATCAAGTGGTACTAGACACAAGATAAAAGGGCACAGGTTTCCAAAACTATGGTTTTTCCTGGGACGAGTCGACCACGATTTGGAAAATATTTGGCGGCTTTTTTACCTCCCAGTTTTTGGTTATTTCGATATCAAATATGTACATGCCATGTTTTGTTATTATGTAACATTTGTCATGTTTGTTATTATGTAACATTTGTCATTTTATGGCATTTAATAAATGCTCCTATTTCATTCAACCTAAGTGTTGTGTTTTATCTCATACCAAACAAGTTCGTCTTGCCAGTTATATTTGCTTGACCTGGACAATACATAAAAAACTATATAAATATTACGATTATTCAATGAAAAGCGACGTTGCAAACGTGCAGTATTATATATAAAAAAACTTATTTCAAATTATAATATAGATATGATAATAAAGAAAAAATCTTTATTTAAAGAAGGTAACATTTCTCCATTAAATTTGGAAACAATGTGGATAGAATTACTTATCAGGTTTCTGCGGGTGGATGTCATTTTTTTCAGTGGAAATCAGTATTTTATAGAAAAGGGTCACTTTCTTATAGAGTATTGAGGTTATTCGGGGGGGGGGGGGTATTATTCTCTGAGATCACTTTGCAACTTTGTCACGCCGGTTCTAATCCTGCTAGGGACTTTGGATCATTTCATGTGAGAAAGCTATGAAGCTTGTTTAATACAAGGTCGGAAAAGAAAGAAACAAAGAAAGCTAACCCATGTAAATAAAGTTTAGTTTCAATAATTCGGCAAAAAAATGAAATTAACTCATTTTAAGATTTTTCTGTTCTGTTATTTAAATGCAGTGTAATTGAAAAATGAAAGATTTCTTAAAAATATTAATTTATATGTATGATAATAAACTAGATTTGGTTATAAATGATGCGTTGCCTTATTTCTGGGACTGTTTTTATTTTCATGAAGTGTCCGATACATGGACTGGTTTGTCTGACCAGAGGTCAGAGGGAATCTGGAGATGGTTTAACACGGACAGACACGCATCAATGTCTGATTGGGGTCCAGGGGAGCCAAACAACAACGGAAATGAAGACTGCGTTGGATTTTGGCCTCGTATAAATTACGATTGGAATGATTACGAATGCAATAGTAAATTGAGGCCATTGTGTGAGAAACCGTAAATTATTGAGCATGTGCGGTGTTTATGGACGATATTCTAAGTTTTTGGGAAAAAAAATAAGATGGTTCATTTCATATTTGATGTACATTGTGTAGATTTATGTCTACGCCAGATATAAACGAAAATGTATACGAAGATTACTAGTAGTCAGTCTTGGGTCAATATTGCATATCAAAATAAAAGGTCTAGTGGAATGCGCAATTAAATTTATGTACTCCTTATATAAAATATAATTAGTAAGGTTTATTTTTAGCTTTTATATAAATTTAAATCTTACATTCTAGTAAAAAAAATAAAAAGATAGAAACTCATGGTGTCAAAGTATAAAAGCACAATGATTATTTTGTACCTTTTTCAAATAAATGTCAATAAAAGTTGACGCCTCTTTTTTAACTTATTCTTTCATTTGTCGTCAGCAACCTATTTATTAATGCGTATGACCAAACTTATGCACTGTACTGTATCTATAGGAAATACAATTTTTTACATTTTGGTCATATTTTAGAAACCGAAAGAAAGAATTGAGCATACGACAGAAAAAGCATATTTTCGCACAACTAGCATATAACTTTTAGTTAAAGAAACAGTAGATCTACTTCTTGTTGTAGTTGTTGTCTTAGATTTATTGAACGAATCAAGAAGTCAACAAGAAAAGCATTGATGCAAAGCATCAAAGGGCGACGCCAAAAGAATTTGATCCAGGTTTGCACCTAAATACTTAACAAAATATGTGTACTTTATAGCAGTACCATTTCATGTGACCTGGAGGCTTGGCCCAGTTTATGTTGAAACTTAAACCAAAAAGAATAGACTCTGTCTTGCCAAGATGCAAAGACAATTTATAGTCAATAAACCAATCTTAAGATTTACTTTACCAGATACAAGGATACCTGAGTCATCATCATATAATGACAGGCACAAGTATCACACCTGGGAAGAAAAAATATGACCAGATAAATAAAAAATCTGTGTTCATCTTAAAAGTGTCAAAAACCAAAAAAAAAATGTAAATAATGACCCCCTTTAAAAATATACTATTAACTTAAAGTATATTTTTTTAAAGGGGGGTCATCATTTTACATTTTTTTTGGTTTGTGACACTTTTAAGATGAACACAAGGTTTTTTTATCAATCTGGTAATATTTTTTCTTCCCAGGTCTGATACTTGTGCCTGTGCATATAATAAAAGCTTATTGCCTTAGGGTTGCAGACATGTCATACATAAAAGAGGACCTAAAATGAACATCAGGGGGGACACCATAGGTATTCAGAGAGAAGAGTACCAGCCAACATTCACCAGCTGCTATCATAGATAAGACTTGAACCATGCAAGAATGTCATTACATATGGCAGATGCTTGAAGAGATGAAGAAGAAGAAAAAAGAACTTCTTCATGTGCAGTTTAGTGTGATCAACTGTTTACCAAATGCTTTTTGTAGATTTAAAAGTATCAAGCAAAACTGCCTTTGTCCATTTCAAATTAAAATGCAATCTATTAAATGAATCAAACATGTGTCAGTTGAAAAACCACTTCTAAACCCTGACTGAAACTGCCTGATCATATGACTCGAACCCATGACTTTCAGAAGACCAACTGAGCTATCCGGCCGGCTACACATTTTCTCTTTAATAATGAAACAGTTCTAAACCTAAACCTTTTTCCCCACTATATTGATTCATGTACTTGAATTTCTGATGTTTACAGAGCATAGTGAATTAAACTCATGGTTATTTGCAGTAACAGGATTGAGAAAAACTTTCAGCTTGACCAGAACTCAAAACCTGTGACCCACAGAATAATGTTCCGCGGCTGTAGCGATTGAGCTATCTGGTCGCTTACACATTTTCTCCCCTAAATAGTGAACAGTTTCTAAACCGTGACAGATATTTAGATTTTTAAATTAACAGATAATTAATTAATTCTTAATTAATAAATAAGAAAAAAAAAACCTTACATACTCATAGTCTTAATTAAAATAACAATTTATATAATTATTATTGTATAATTATTTTTACTAAAAAGGGCTAAGACAGTTATTGGTTGTGCCATTATTTATAACAGGTCAATTTGAAAGAGAATATAACTGTGCTAATACATGTACAATATCTATGATAAGAAATTTTATGAAGGCTGATTTGTATTTTACATCAAGGGCACCGGGCAAAAACATGAAAATGCAACAAACGAACCACTTTGTGGTAGATTGTATTTTCATGTTTTCATCTGGCGCCCGGTTACTTTTTGTACTTTGTTGGTTTTCATGTGGCACAAATCACCCACTATAAAATTTAGTGTACTGTACAAATTTATTCAAGGACAAGTATCAATCTACTCTATGAAAAGTCTGTTGTTGGGTTGACTCAGGAGACCTGGAGATTGAGACCGGTGTCCCTCCATTACAAATAGATAAGGCAGAAGCTGTCCTTTTCAAACTATGCACATGTTAGAAAAAAATTAGAATAATTATTCAGAACATGATTTTTTGAGGCTTTATCAATTATATTGCTTGATCCAAGTTTCAGGACATTTTCAATCAATACATGTATTATCATTTATAACTTTAAATGAAAGTCTCATCTCTTTAATAATAATGACATAACTGCAACTCTTTAAATTCAGAAATATTATAAGTCTCATCATACCAATATACTAAGATATAAATGTATGCACATAACATTAATAATTCCAAGTTTCTATTAAATAAATATGAAATATTGGGTATATAAAGCCAGTAAAAGTATATATATATCAATATTCACTCATCAGGGCCTCTATGCTTTTGATGACCTTACAAATGGTAAATTTTATAAAACAAAAATTGTAATCAATACCTAAGATAGACAGAAAAGAACAAATAATTTAGTAAACATGAGTTACTTCCCCTTGAAATAAAGAAAACATGAAACCCAAAAGAACACCCTAAACATCAAAATTAATAAATGTTGCAGGCTCATTTTAATTATGCCATGCAAATTAATGGTAAAGTATTCATAAAAAAGTAGATGGCCATGTGACAGCAGTAATTGCAGAAAATCGGATAGCTGTCAACATCCGGATACTGGTACACTTTGTAAAAAACAAACCATTCTGTTCAACAGATAAACGTAATATGGATAAAATCAATAGGATAATCGTTTTACAACAGTCCATTACCTATCCTAATACTCATTTGCAGGTGAACTTTCTTCTTGTAGGAAAGTTTTGAAAATATATAAATGAATGAGCATCAATGTAGACCACAACGATATTCGAAATCCGGGTTTTAGTATTGTCAATAAAACAAAGGGACAAGCTGTTAATCTGAGCCTGCAATTTCGTGAAAATAATATCACAATGCACATGCTTTTTATATAAAGTTATTAAATACAAATATAACAACATATTTGTTTACTTGATTTTTACGAATCAAAATAAATATAATTAACACAACATGCAATTAACTGCTAATAATAACAGCTCCTTCCATAGGCCAAAATAAAAAGTATTCCATATAAGACGACGCCGCTCACCGGCGTCGCCAATAAAATGGTATTAGACAATGGAAATGAATTTTTAAAGCCTCGTCCTTCCAGAATCTTTTTTATTTGATATAAGTAGAGGGTTCTAATCACGAATAGCTTTACTTTCAGATATCATTAGTGCCTATGAATAATTTGTTTTGTGATCGGCCGCTCACTAACTACAATTTCAATTTAAAACATTTATCGTACAACAACAACAAATCGTGAACAACTTTCGCAAGCAACCGCAACAGAAGTGCTACGCCCAACTAGGTATTAATGGTTAATTTATTTTTCAATATTTGTTATTATAATGTATACTGATGATAATGATGTTCTATATTTAAATAACTAAACATGTTTTTTATACATGAAAAACACAAAAAGGTATGCATAACGAAGTATATGTTTGGAAAATAGACTATACATATAAAACTATAAAACTTTTTATGGTCTAAGATATCACAATTTTAGTCATCGACTTTCCACTCGGTGAAAATCCCCAAGCCGTCGACACATTGAAAAGGGAGTCCTTCCTTTTAAGGCTTTATGGCTGCCTTGTAGTCTTTTGCACATTTAGCTCGTCATCTTCATCAATAAATTTAAAGAAAAATAGATATATATCCAATTTGCTACTTTTCACTTACCTGGGTAGCCTTTTTGTACATATGAACTGGCCTCAGAATGTCTGTGTCTGACGAAATGAAATGTTTTGTATTGAATAATGATTGCAATGATATTGAATCTTTTACTTGACAATAGATGTGTAACGTTTTTACGGCACACAAACCCTGTCGGTGAAAAGCTAGCTCACCACCGAGAGTGGTTTGTGTCCTTATATACGGGAACTATTCCCGTCTGTTAATTCAACAACTTAAGTTATTTGCATATTATCATGCTCATTATGACGTTCTACCAACGTCGTTACAGATGCAGATGTAAAAATTGAGCCTGACCAAAAAATATTGTAAATTTAAAGTCTACATTTGTGACAACAATTCAATTGCCATTTACAGAGGAAATGACGTATGGAAACTTTAGATACGACCTTAAATATTAGTACAATGATAACTGCCAATGTAAACAGCAGAATCTTTATTACTATATATTATTATATAAGAGAATTGCGCTCTGGGCCTCCTGTAAGTCAATCAAATGTAAAAACTGGTATTTTTGGGTTCGTAAACAGTTGAATGAGTTAGACCTTTCAATATATAATGATATATCCATACCTATATCCAAGAATAATATTGTTAAAGCTGTAGAAGAACGTATGTTTGCTAAGTTTAAAACAGAGTGGTTTGATAAAATTAATGCACCCACGGGCTCATCAGGTAGAGGCCGGAATAAATTACGGACATATTGTATATTTAAAGAAAAATATTGTATTGAACCTTTTTGTACAATGATTTTGCCTTTTAGCCACAGATCAGCTTTTAGCAAATTTAGATGTGGTGTAGTAGCACCAATTCGTATAGAAACCGGAAGATTTGAAAATCTCCAGGTAGATAGACGTCTATGTCCATTTTGTCATGTGGTAGAGGATGAAACTCATGTAATATTAGAATGTCAGTTATACAATGATTTAAGAAATGTACTTTTTGAACAAGCTGCAGTTGCTGTTAACAATTTTATCGACCTGAAAAGTGATGAGAAATTAAAAGTTATATTTAGTAATACTAATGTAATAAGAGTTAGTGCCAAAACCTGCTTCCAGATACTACAAAGAAGGAATTTGTTTATGTGTGAATAGGATGTTTTAATCCTTTTATTAAAGTAGTAGAAATGTAATAATAGTAGCGTACATAGTACATAATTTTTAACAGCAATTAGTTTTATATTTTATAATTGAAGATGTAAAACAGATATTTTTGTTTTATTTTGGTTGTGAAGGAAGATTTAACTGTGGCAATGATATAGCAGTACATTGCCACTGTGTATCGACATTGAATATTAAGACATTTTGTGTATAGGCTTGATTTAAATGGTTGATTTTTGGGCTGAGTTTAGTGCAGTTTGTTTGTACCCTACTAATGTTATCTACACTGGCACACAAATGTATCATGCTAGAAGGCGATCACCCTATAC